TTTTTGTTCTTAAATGGAACATATAATTTCTATGCTTCATAGAACAGGTTTATGAGTATTAAAAATGCCTTTGTAAACGTGGGGTAAACAGCCTCCATAGATCAAAGAGAAAATAAATGGTTACTTGATCAGCTTTCATTTTAGTTGTGAAATGTTATTTCCAGGGTAGTAGTTTTTAGTGGTCTTTTCCTTTTTTTTTCCCCCATTATTATTTTTTTTTTAAATGACATTGACTCTCCTTTGTAGATTATATAGGTTGTAACATAACTGTCGCTCAGGTAAGTGCTAGCTGGAGAGGCTGAATGTTTGAATAGGAGCGCTCACATCCTTGGGAGCTGACTGAATAAGTGAAGGGGGAGCTCGTTAGTGGAGGAATTACTTATGTTCTCCCACTTTCTCTCAGGCATCTGCCTGGTGCTTTGCCTGGCTGGGCTTTGATGGGACTTTGATTTAGTAAATAGCTCTCAAAATCCTTCACATTTCGTGGTTGTCTGTGTGTATATATTTTTTAAATTACTCATCTAGGGAACTAGGTTACTGGTTGTAATATTTCTAAAACCAGTCAAATTTAAATATTTGGGTAAGCTTTTGGAATACGATTTTTCCTATATATTCAGAACTTGGTGTCCATAGTCTCTTTTTGACTCTTACATTGGCCAGCTTTTGAAATGTATAACTTGAATTAGTGAGGAACATCTTTTCCACCACAAGGATAGTCAAGCAGTGGAGCAGGTTGCCCAGAGAGGTGGTGAAATCTGTAACCTTGGAAGTTTTCGAGACCTGACTGGACAGAAGTCCTGAGCAACCTGGTCTGATCTTGCAGCCAGCCCTGCTCTGAGCAGCAGGTTGGGCTAGAGACCTCCAGGGATGCCTTCCAGCCGCAATAATCCTGTGACCATACTTGTCAATCATCTTACTCGGTGATACTTTAGCATCTTTTATGCCATGCTGACAGATGTTTTAAGTGATAGTCCTTAATGTTAAAGAAAATGTAGCCCTACCAATTAATAATGAAGTTCAGATTTTGGCCTCAAAACTTTAGGTTTTGTTGTAAACAATGTAACCTTTTTTGTTTTTTTGAAAGGAAGTTGCAGATTCCAGCTAGTTTCATAAAACATTCTTAAAAAAGGCAGAGGAATTTATTTCTTTCATAGGGACTCTCACTGTGAGACAGCTTGATTTTTATTTGAAGATTTTATTTTTTTTTTTAAGGAGGATCTCAGCTGAAAACTTAACTGGTGTTTTATTGAAACCAAAGGCTGCCTCTGGGGAGTGCAGTGCACGCCAACATCATTGAATGAGTAATTTCTAAGCAAAAATTGTCCAGGTTTATTCCTGGTAATTTTTGTGGTGAAAGTTTAAAAATTCCTAGCAATAAAATTCAGAGCAAAAACCTGAACTAAACCCCTAGTTTTGGACAATATTTCCTCCTTAAAACAAGCAAACAAGAAAACCCGCACACCACCAACATCCTGTCCCCTCCTGGAGCCATCCTCCAGAAACCAAGTTCTTCCCATACAGACTGCTATAAGTCACTCAGAAACACTGACTCTGTCCTGTTTAGTCCTGATATCCGAGAAGCACAATGGTACTGCTCCTCTCTGCTATCTTCCACACCAGAGGGGCAAGGACAAGAAGTTTTGTTTCTCCTACTCTGCATCGTCCTCTGTCTCTGCTGTTTTGCAAGTTGCAGGTGCCCAGTACAATTTCAACCTGTTATTCACTTGGTACATGGAGAACAGCCCTTTTGGCTTACAGAAATACACTATGTTGTTTCTTTGTGGAAACATTTTTGCCAAGAGAGAAAGTGAAGGGATCGCTTTCTAACAAGTATGTGGATGGCAATGGAAAGAAAGAAAATATCTTTTCAATTCATATCGGTGTTTAAGTTCTATGTAATGTCTATGTTCTGATATGCTAGTTTTGTTACTAGCATACATAGGTTTAGAGCCTCTTATTGGTTAAGTTCATCTCCCTTCTAATGTCTTGCCTGTGAAGCACTGAGTCAACAGATGCCTCCATGAATCTTTGCGTCGACAACTTTTTGTTTTGTTCAGAACAGTTACTTGGTATTCATGCTTACAGTTTATACAGCCTACAACACACTTTTGTTTTATTTGCAGATTGTCATAAGCATAGGACTCATGTTTTATGTTGTTCACCGAGCTCAAGTGGAACTGAATGCAGCTATTGTAGCGTGTGAAATGGAAATAAAGACATCACTTGTTAAAGACAGTCAACCGAGCATCAGTGGTTCAACCACATACTGCAACAAAAGGACAGTAGCATTCTCTGGAGGAGGTGTCAATATTGTGTGATTTCAAGTATTAATAAAGTAAGGTTTTGTGAACCTAAGCTATTGCCTAGAAATATCTATGGACAATTCAACTAGTTTTAAAAAAAATTACAAGTGGTTACAGGTTGTACTGTGGCACAAACCAACCGACCAGCTCTTCAATTGCACACAGGGTGACTTCTAGCAAGAAAAGAAAGATGGTGAAGTAACTTAAGATGTAAATGCAAATTTGGCTGCACCTTTGGTCATTTATTATACCTGTCATGGCCTGTAGTCTGCACTTTAGGTTTTTTTCCTTTGCTCCTATAAACTGAGAAATGCTTCTATAAACTGAGAAAAGTAGCACAGAGGTAAATATTTTTCTGCTTAGCGTTATTTATAAGGCTGAATAAATATGCAGTAGAATTTTATTACTGATAAAGATGAATGAGAAAGTATGCAATTCAATGTATGTTATTCTTGAATGTGCTTTTGCTTTGGAATTGCTTCCAGAACATTTTTGATTTTTTAAAAAAAAAAAAAAAGAGAACCCTATGTAGAATTTTGGTTGAATGTATTTTTGTAAGTCATTAAAAATGTTGCAGAGCCATGCATATGTATTCACACAAGCTTAAATCCTACATTGTGGGACTGAAGTGCTCTTAAATAACATTTTAAGTTACACTGTGTAATATGCAAAGTAAAAGGGAAAATACAGAAATTATAATAGATTGCAGTGACTATTGGAAGGGGATTTCATGACTTAACTGTTGCATTGGTTTTACCACCTTGGTGATTGTAACAAAGGGCTGTTCCATGGTAGTCCTATTTATAATATTTTTAGTTGTTAAAAGGATGGAGTTTTTCAACTCACATGACTGCATGTAATAAGGCTTCCAGAACAGGGAGCTAAATCTCTCCTTTAAACAAAATGATGGCATAATTGGAAGGGGATTTCATGACTTAACTGTTGCATTGGTTTTACCACCTTGGTGATTGTAACAAAGGGCTGTTCCATGGTAGTCCTATTTATAATATTTTTAGTTGTTAAAAGGATGGAGTTTTTCAACTCACATGACTGCATGTAATAAGGCTTCCAGAACAGGGAGCTAAATCTCTCCTTTAAACAAAATGATGGCATACTGGCAGTACTAATTTTACATGAAGGTGGCCTTTATTTTGTAAGTGAATCCCCCCTCCCTTTAAAAAGCTTTAAAAATTGACTTTGGTTGGCATGTTTTTTTCTAAAAGTTTTACATTTTTTAAAAGATGCAATCTATTATAAATTTCATCAGAGTGAAGAAATGAAAACTAGAGGTTCTCCTTGGAAAAATAAATAATCCAGTAATGGAGGAGGACAGTAGTGTCTCTGAGACTCAGGAATTCTGACTCCAGTTTTGCAAGACAACATTGTGTTGGATAACGCTCCTTTTACGTGTGCTGTGGACTGTTTTTTCACTGCGTTTGAATAGACTGGATAACCCGATAGTAACTTGTGTGTGTGTAAAGGGAAAACAACAATAATGCCCGAACATGATGTCTTGTATGTGTGAGTTTCATGTAGATATACGTACCAATGTTCAATTGCTCAAACACGCAAGTCATCTGATACAAAAATAATGTAATATATTGCTTATTTTGTAGTTATTTTGTGTAAGTTTTTAAGGATGCTTTCAGTCTTCAAGATTTTGTGTTATTTTCTAACAGTATGACTGTGCCTCCTTTTTGTAAGGCTGTTTGTTGGGATCCAGCATTTTTGTCTTGTTGAGAATAGCAGGTCTTCAAGGTCTTTGGGAAGCAGATATTTGATCGCCTCTAACAGTCTTACTGTGGGGATGTACGGTACTCGCCTAATGTGACATCTACGCGTTCCTTGGTAGTGGAAGTTCAATTTTGTTCTTTAAATACGTAGCCTTTGCAGACCGCTTTTCTTGGGTCTTGTGACCTAAGGAACTGAACTAGTTAAATGAAACAACAAAGTTCAGATTGTCTCCTTTCTGTTGTTTTGGGGTTTGTGGGGTTTTTTTGTTTGTTTGGTCAGTTTGTTTTTGAAAAGGCAATCTGTGTATACCTGGAAGTGTTCATTTACACATCTCTGCCTCTGACAGCTCCTGTGTGAAAACAAGAGAGCCAGATAACTTTTTGATGGCGTTATTTGTCATCATAGTATAATTGAGCCCTTTCTTAACTAAAGGTTTTTTATTTTTTTTGTTTCTTGGAAAGAACAATTCTTCAATAAATGAACTGATCTGAACTTTGCTCCATCTTGCCAAATCAACAATAGTGTTTTGAAGAGGGTATCTCTTTCTTTCCATTTTTTTAACTAACTTAAGGTTGTGTTGATTATTCGAGAACATTTCCCAAATACGTATTTTGAAGTGCTTTTATTTCCATGACATTTTGTAACCAGAGTAACTTCACTATGTGAACACTTTTGTAGTATGGAATTAGTTCTTAAGACTTTTGCATTTTGCTTGATACTTGTAATATTTGTGTACAAGTTAATGGGAAATGTGCATTAAAAGGAACTTTTCTGTACCATGCCAATTATAATTTTATACAATAAATTCACTCAAATTTCTTTAAAGGAATATGTATTAAATGTTTTGGTTGCTATGAAGTAGTCGGAAAGAAGGTGCAGTGGAGTGCCGTCTGTACATATGCATGTGGGCGGGGTTGTCTATGTTAAATGAGTAATAAGTTAGGATTTAAGGATGAATTCCATGGGTGGGGAGTTACTGAAAAGGGAAAGACACTTCATTTTTATTTTTTTAAAATTAAAATTAAATACATGCTTCATTCTGTTAAATACTTTAAAGGTTAGGTATTTGTAGCTGCCTTTTTGATAGAAGAATAAGGATACGTGTGCTTACGAGTAACGTGCTACTGAACTGAAAGAGGATTGATATTTTTGAATGTAAAAGTAGTAAAAGTGATGTGGTTTTTTTGGTTTGGTTTTTTTTTTTTAGATAGTCTCCCCACCTAGTGCAAGTAAAAAATAAATGGGTATGAATCCAGTGTAAATAGTATGTGGCAAGGCACCTCCATGAGTATTTTCTGAGTTGCCATGATGGTGAAATTTCTGCATTTTGTATATGAAACGTACCTCAGTTGCAGGTCATATAGAAGAAGGAATCTCTCTCAGCTGCCTGGCACCAGTTTTCCTTCCTCCTCCTTGCGGTAAGTGCAACTGTGTAATAAATTTGTTAAAATTTAACTTTACACTAAGCATCTGTGAGGAAAACCCCTTTTTTGTCCAAGAGCTTTATATACTACTTTCATACTGATTTTTGCACAATAACTTCAAGAAGCGTTGCCGAGGTCAAGTTTGAAGAATGGAAAAACTGCTCTTACACGGTGTGTGGTTAGTGTCATGTATCGGATCCTTTGCGTTAATTTTCAGCTTTCCACCTGAGGCTGGTATGATTTGGATTTTGACTGACCAAGATTACTGGAGTCATCAGCGGCCTTGCAAATGATCTACTTGCGATGCTTAAAAAGAAATATTACGAATGTGTTACCATTCACTCTGTGGTCATTCTTAATGACAGAAGCAAATAGCTCGAGTAGCTCTGTGACAGGCTTCCTCACTATAATAAAATCAAAGTTGGCACTGCTCCTGTCTACATGAGAAGATGATGGTTTGGGCATGAGGGAATAGGAAATCGCGTGCAGAGGGGAAGCTGATGCAAATTCTGCCCCTGCTGGGGAAAGCAGCTCGTCCCTGTCCTCTCCAGTCCCGCAGAATTACACTGATGTGCCTGGCAGCACAGGGATGATGGGTCTAACACATCCTCTCTTCATGGACATTAGCATTTGTCTCACACTATGCTGCTGTATTGATTTTTAATTTATATTAATTTGTTAGTGATAAGTAGCAAGAAATAACTGAGTCTGCAGTTTCGATCCTGTCCCTTTCCTCCTTCAATAGATTATTCTGTCGTATTGCTAAACTTAAAACTACATTTTAATGAAGTCTTGTGTTCATTAATGTAAGTTACGTCCTCCTTGCTAGCCAAGTGACTAATGTGTAGTTGGTTGGATCTGGATTCTCGATTTGTTTGGAAAATTAGCTGGGCAAGATTTGCTGATGCGAGTATGCGAAGTCCTCTAACTTTCCTTCTAATTATTTAGGACTTTAGATACATTGTGAAAGAAATTAGCAGAATAGGTTTATTATACAGAGTTTTTTTTCTTTTGTTTTGGTTTAGAAAAAAGGTTACTAGCAAGATAGCAGAAGAAGGATTTGTTCTGTCCTGATCCTGGGATGTGGATACTGGGTGTCGTCCTTTTTCGGAGATGAGAATGTTGCCAAGACATAGCACACGTAAGCTTAGGCGAGTCAAGGTAATTAGGTGCCCACTTTGGTGAGGAGGATGTAAAACCTGTATCTTCATGTTAGTATGGCAAGTCTTTTTTTATCATACAATCTACAGACCAGCACAGTTTGGCATTGGTGCCTGCAGTGAGTTGCTTCCCACCCCTCCTCATCTGCGGGAGGGGTAATCTAGAGAGCTACAAGTCTTTCAAGCTGAAGGAGAAGAAACAGTAGTCTGAGCGCAGCGGGGACAGTTTGAGGAGGTTAAATTAATCTTAGTGCTGCCAGAACTGTGAATACTAAGTGCCTTGTTTTCTTAACTGCCAAATCCTTTGACAGCTTCTGCTTCTTTCCACGGGAGGGTAGCTGGGTGACCTCACCTAGAGGTAGGTCAGCATTTTCTCTTCTGGAGAGTTTTAGCATGCTTTGACTTTTGGACTTCTTAACTTCTGAAATAGTCTTTTGACAAATTTCACTGACATTTCTCTAATTAGAATGGTTCAGTTTGTCCCAGTAACAGGGCAAGATCAGCTGGGGTGCAAAAATGTATGTACCAGGTGGTGTTCATGCATGTGCACCTGGCCCAGGCAAGAACTTCTGTAGGGCAATGCGCATGAGTTCAATTTGCTGAATGTGAGGTGTTTCCCTTCATTCCCAGTGAGCTATAACTGTTTCCCTTAAAGGTTGTGGTAGGTAGGAGGAAGGAAGGAAAGGCCTGTGGTGATGGACTATTCTAACAGCAGATTTTCGCTCTCAGCCTTAGAAACTCAATTGCTTAAGATCACAAATATTCTCCATTTAATGTGAGAAATGGTAGGTGGTGAGGGAATAGACTAATGAATTCTCTGACTGTGATTTTTGTGAGGGAGTAACAATTCACTTCAGTATGTGATAAAGCACCCAGATGGTAGAGGGGTGGCTTTTTTGTTGGTTTTTTGGGGGTGGGGAGGGGCGGGGTTATGTACTACTGGAGGCAAATAATGCTGAAATGGCAACGATATGAAGTTAATGCTGATTCTTTTGAACCTTGATTTATTACAACTGTTTCAGATGTCTTTTCAGCTATGGGGAATAGTGTCTCAGAAGCAGCTAGAGTAAGAGCTCTAGGTAAGAGCTTCTGGAGGGCTGCTGAATGTGTACCTCTGCCGCTAGGGCCTGCTTTTATAACCTGGGCTAGCAAAGTCCAAACCAGAAGCA